GGGTGCACATGGAGTTAGCTACACAAGATGGAGTGCACATGGAGTTAGCTACACAAGATGGGGTGCTCACAAAGTCAGCTACACATAATGGAGTGCACATGGAGTCAGCTACACAAGATGTGGTGCACATGGAGTCAGCTACACATGATAGAGTGCACACATAGTCAGCTACACAATGATAGAGTGCACACGGAGTCAACTAAACAAGATAGGGTGTACACGGAGACATTCATTTGTACATGATTGACCAATAATAAAAGTGTAAAATGAAATGCTGTATCCATCTCTCTCACATGTGTGTGTGTTAGTGTGTATGTGTGTCAGTGTGTATGTGGGAATGCATGTATGTTGACACATATATGTATATGACTGACCAATGACATTAACCTGACATGTATGTACGATTGACTAATGACATAAAATTGTGACATACTTGTACAAAACTTCTCCGTACTTCCAAAATAAAGGTGATCTTGGGGTGTTCCTTGCCATCTGCCTGGAGCTAGCCTTCAGTCGACTACAGGAGAAGCCTGTCTTGAAGTCAACCCTTTCCACATCTGAGGATGTGGCCAAAGAATTCAGCCCTTCCAGCCAAAGTCTGACCCCCATCTTGACTATAGTCTCCATGTCATCTCTACCGCTGTTGAATCCAATAACTAGAAGAAAGAAGAGGAGGAGAGGGCAATTATCTGTTATAGTGAGATCCCAGATACCATAAATTAAAGGAGCTCAAGTAGTTAGTTTGCCGGGTTCGATCTCTGCTGCCGATGGTTTGTCTTGCGATGGTTTTGACTGTGGTACTGAGAGCCGACTGCCCAGAAAGCAATGACAAACTACTGGACATAATTTGCCTAGAAAAAACACAACAGCCAAAAAGTGCTGGGGTTGGTTCTGCAACGTCCTGTAAAGGATACACAACTAATTTAAGGTATACTTAGGTAAGAATAAATATAATTAAACCAACATATGAAGACTCAGAGTATGCAGTGCAAACATATGATGGTTTAAGTGATGGTTTGCAGTTGAGATTGGAGTGAAGCAGGCTTGCATTTTATCTCCTCTGTTTTTTGTTTGTGGCATAACCACTGACTGGGTGTTGAACAAATGTTGTGTTGAAAACAGCGGCACTGACTGGGTGAAGAACAAATGTTGTGTTGAAAACAGCGGCAATGACTGGGTGAAGAACAAATGTTGTGTTGAAAACAGCGGCACTGACTGGGTGTTGAGCAAATGTTGTGTTGAAAACAGCGGCACTGACTGGGTGGAGAACAAATGTTGTGTTGAAAACAGCGGCAATGACTGGGTGAAGAACAAATGTTGTGTTGAAAACAGCGGCACTGACTGGGTGTTGAGCAAATGTTGTGTTGAAAACAGCGGCACTGACTGGGTGGAGAACAAATGTTGTGTTGAAAACAGCGGCACTGACTGGGTGTTGAGCAAATGTTGTGTTGAAAACAGCGGCACTGACTGGGTGAAGAACAAATGTTGTGTTGAAAACAGCGGCACTGACTGCGTGGAGAACAAATGTTGTGTTGAAAACAGCGGCACTGACTGGGTGTTGAGCAAATGTTGTGTTGAAAACAGCGGCACTGACTGGGTGAAGAACAAATGTTGTGTTGAAAACAGCGGCACTGACTGGGTGAAGAACAAATGTTGTGTTGAAAACAGCGGCACTGACTGGGTGTTGAGCAAATGTTGTGTTGAAAACAGCGGCACTGACTGGGTGGAGAACAAATGTTGTGTTGAAAACAGCGGCACTGACTGGGTGGAGAACAAATGTTGTGTTGAAAACAGCGGCACTGACTGGGTGTTGAACAAATGTTGTGTTGAAAACAGCGGCACTGACTGGGTGTTAAACAAATGTTGTGTTGAAAACAGCGGCACTGACTGGGTGTTGAACAAATGTTGTGTTGAAAACAGCGGCACTGACTGGGTGGAGAACAAATGTTGTGTTGAAAACAGCGGCACTGACTGGGTGGAGAAAACAGCGGCACTGACTGGGTGGAGAAAACAGCGGCACTGACTGGGTGGAGAAAACAGCGGCACTGACTGGGTGGAGAAAACAGCGGCACTGACTGGGTGGAGAACACAGCGGCACTGACTGGGTGGAGAACAAATGTTGTGTTGAAAACAGCGGCACTGACTGGGTGTTGAGCAAATGTTGTGTTGAAAACAGCGGCACTGACTGGGTGAAGAACAAATGTTGTGTTGAAAACAGCGGCACTGACTGGGTGAAGAACAAATGTTGTGTTGAAAACAGCGGCACTGACTGGGTGTTGAACAAATGTTGTGTTGAAAACAGCGGCACTGACTGGGTGAAGAACAAATGTTGTGTTGAAAACAGCGGCACTGACTGGGTGAAGAACAAATGTTGTGTTGAAAACAGCGGCACTGACTGGGTGTTGAGCAAATGTTGTGTTGAAAACAGCGGCACTGACTGGGTGGAGAACAAATGTTGTGTTGAAAACAGCGGCACTGACTGGGTGGAGAACAAATGTTGTGTTGAAAACAGCGGCACTGACTGGGTGGAGAACAAATGTTGTGTTGAAAACAGCGGCACTGACTGGGTGTTGAACAAATGTTGTGTTGAAAACAGCGACAATGACTGGGTGAAGAACAAATGTTGTGTTGAAAACAGCGGCACTGACTGGGTGAAGAACAAATGTTGTGTTGAAAACAGCGGCACTGACTGGGTGTTGAGCAAATGTTGTGTTGAAAACAGTGGCACTGACTGGGTGGAGAACAAATGTTGTGTTGAAAACAGCGGCACTGACTGGGTGGAGAACAAATGTTGTGTTGAAAACAGCGGCACTGACTGGGTGTTGAACAAATGTTGTGTTGAAAACAGCGGCACTGACTGGGTGTTGAACAAATGTTGTGTTGAAAACAGCGGCAATGACTGGGTGAAGAACAAATGTTGTGTTGAAAACAGCGGCACTGACTGGGTGTTGAGCAAATGTTGTGTTGAAAACAGCGGCACTGACTGGGTGGAGAACAAATGTTGTGTTGAAAACAGCGGCACTGACTGGGTGGAGAACAAATGTTGTGTTGAAAACAGCGGCACTGACTGGGTGTTGAACAAATGTTGTGTTGAAAACAGCGGCACTGACTGGGTGTTGAACAAATGTTGTGTTGAAAACAGCGGCACTGACTGGGTGTTGAACAAATGTTGTGTTGAAAACAGCGGCACTGACTGGGTGGAGAACAAATGTTGTGTTGAAAACAGCGGCACTGACTGGGTGGAGAAAACAGCGGCACTGACTGGGTGGAGAACACAGCGGCACTGACTGGGTGGAGAACACAGCGGCACTGACTGGGTGGAGAACACAGCGGCACTGACTGGGTGGAGAACACAGCGGCACTGACTGGGTGGAGAACACAGCGGCACTGACTGGGTGGAGAACACAGCGGCACTGACTGGGTGGAGAACACAGCGGCACTGACTGGGTGGAGAACACAGCGGCACTGACTGGGTGGAGAACACAGCGGCACTGACTGGGTGGAGAACACAGCGGCACTGACTGGGTGGAGAACACAGCGGCACTGACTGGGGGGAGAACACAGCGGCACTGACTGGGTGGAGAACACAGCGGCACTGACTGGGGGGAGAACACAGCGGCACTGACTGGGGGGAGAACACAGCGGCACTGACTGGGGGGAGAACACAGCGGCACTGACTGGGGGGAGAACACAGCGGCACTGACTGGGGGGAGAACACAGCGGCACTGACTGGGGGGAGAACACAGCGGCACTGACTGGGGGGAGAACACAGCGGCACTGACTGGGGGGAGAACACAGCGGCACTGACTGGGGGGAGAGAACACAGCGGCACTGACTGGGGGAGAGAACACAGCGGCACTGACTGGGGGGAGAACACAGCGGCACTGACTGGGGGGAGAACACAGCGGCACTGACTGGGGGGAGAACACAGCGGCACTGACTGGGGGGAGAACACAGCGGCACTGACTGGGGGGAGAACACAGCGGCACTGACTGGGGGGAGAACACAGCGGCACTGACTGGGGGGAGAACACAGCGGCACTGACTGGGGGGAGAACACAGCGGCACTGACTGGGGGGAGAACACAGCGGCACTGACTGGGGGGAGAACACAGCGGCACTGACTGGGGGGAGAACACAGCGGCACTGACTGGGGGGAGAACACAGCGGCACTGACTGCGGGGAGAACACAGCGGCACTGACTGGGGGGAGAACACACAGTTGGAAGATTTCAATTTTGCTGAAAATATTGTTCTGCTAATTAAAAACAGCAATGACGTGCACAAGAAAAACATAAGACTGACTAAATATAGCATCAATTGTTGGACTAAATATAGCATCAATTGTTGGACTAAATATAGCATCAATTGTTGGACTACTAATAATTTATGAAAAGATAATTATATTGAAGACATCAACAAAAGATGAAGCAAATAACACTAGAGACAAAAGGAATTAAAGCAAAAGATCAATTTACTTTTTTAGGTAACAATTTTGATAGCCAAGGAAATACAAAGAATGAAACAATTTTGATAGCCAAGGAAATACAAAGAATGAAACAATTTTGATAGCCAAGGAAATACAAAGAATGAAACAATTTTGATAGCCAAGGAAATACAAAGAATGAAACAATTTTGATAGCCAAGGAAATACAAAGAATGAAACAATTTTGATAGCCAAGGAAATACAAAGAATGAAACAATTTTGATAGCCAAGGAAATACAAAGAATGAAACAATTTTAATAGCCAAGGAAATACAAAGAATGAAACAATTTTGATAGCCAAGGAAATACAAAGAATGAAACAATTTTAATAGCCAAGGAAATACAAAGAATGAAACAATTTTGTTAGCCAAGGAAATACAAAGAATGAAACAATTTTGATAGCCAAGGAAATACAAAGAATGAAATCATGACATGAATTGGTAAGCCATCAGAAGCTTTCAAATGCCTGAACAAAAATGGAACTCTATAGAGTTTTGAAACCAAGCTGCATTTTTGTAGTTGTAAGGTTATTTCGGCTGTAACCATTAAAGACAGAACACAAGTTAAATGCATTTGACAACACATGCCTGAGGAAAATGATCACCATAAAATTGGGATGAATTCAAGAGGGATGAAGGCAGGCATCAGAGACATTTTGGGCAACCACTGGCGCCAATAGTTATTAGAAACAATATATTGAACACATCCTGAGAAGAAACCAGCAGAGAATCACCAAACAGGCACTACAATGGGAAATAATGGGAACTGAGGAAGTGAGGACACCCAAAATCAAACATTGATGAGAGAGGCCAAAGCTGCTGGACTGGATCAGAGAGGCCAAAGCTGCTGGACTGGATGAGAGAGACCAAAGATGTTGGAGTGGATGAGAGAGACCAAAGATGTTGGAGTGGATGAGAGAGACCAAAGCTGCTGGAGTGGATTCCATCGATGAAATTAAACTGATTGTACAGAGTAAGACAGACTGGAGGAATCGACTTGGAGCCCTTTGGGACACACAATGGCACTGGGAGCCCTATGGGACACATGATGGCACTGGGAGCCCTATGGGACACATAATGGCACTGGGAGCCCTATGGGACACACAATGGCACTGGGAGCCCTATGGGACACATAATGGCACTAGGAAACCCTATGGGACACATAATGGCACTGGGAGCTCTATAGGACACATAATGGCACTGGGAGCCCTATGGGACACATAATGGCACTGGGAGCCCTATGGGACACATAATGGCACTGGGAGCCCTATGGGACACATAATGGCACTGGGAGATCTATGGGACAAATAATGGCACTGGGAGCCCTATGGGTCACATAATGACACTGGGAGCCCTATGGGACACATAATGGCACTGAGAGCGCTATGGGGCACATAATGGCACTGGGAGTGCTATGGGGCACATAATGGCACTAGGAGCCCTATGGGACACATGATGGCGCTGGGAGCCCTATGGGACACATGATGGCACTGGGAGCCCTATGGGGCACATAATGGCACTGGGAGCCCTATGGGACACATGATGGCACTAGGAGCCCTATGGGACACATGATGGCACTGGGAGCCCTATGGGGCACATAATGGCACTGGGAGCCCTATGGGACACATGATGGCACTGGGAGCCCTATGGGACACATAATGGCACTGGGAGCCCTTTGGGACACATAATGGCACTGGGAGCCCTATGGGACACATAATGGCACTGGGAGATGCTACATGTTTTCATGTCTAGTCACACTGCAGCACATGTTAGAGATGCTACATGTTTTCATGTCTCGTCACACTGTGGCACATGTTAGAGATGCTACATGTTTTCATGTCTAGTCACACTGCAGCACATGTTAGAGATGCTACATGTTTTCCTGTCTAGTCACACTGCGGCACATGTTAGAGATGCTACATGTTTTCATGTCTAGTCACACTGTGACACATGTTAGAGATGCTACATGTTTTCATGTCTCGTCACACTGTGACACATGTTAGAGATGCTACATGTTTTCATGTCTCGTCACACTGTGGCACATGTTAGAGATGCTACATGTTTTCCTGTCTCGTCACACTGTGGCACATGTTAGAGATGCTACATGTTTTCATGTCTAGTCACACTGTGACACATGTTAGAGAAGCTACATGTTTTTATGTCTAGTCACACTGCGGCACATATTAGAGATGCTACATGTTTTCTTGTCTAGTCACACTGTGGCACATGTTAGAGATGCTACACGTTTTCATGTCTCGTCACACTGTGGCACATGTTAGAGATGCAACATGTTTTCATGTCTCGTCACACTGTGGCACATGTTAGAGAGGCTACATGTTTTTATGTCTCGTCACACTGTGGCACATGTTAGAGATGCAACATGTTTTCATGTCTCGTCACACTGTGGCACATGTTAGAGATGCTACATGTTTTCATGTCTCGTCACACTGTGGCACATGTTAGAGATGCTACATATTTTTATGTCTCGTCACACTGCAGCACGTGTCAGGGATGTTTCAATTTTAGTTGCACAATAGCATTTGTGGAAATTTTGAATCTGAACTACCAATTAATGGCATTTTGTCAAGATTTGTCATTGAATATATTACTGGATGAACAATATATTGAGAATTTATGTTTATATATAGTGATGTTAATAAAATAGAAATAAGAATTAAAAAGCAACATCTTAAGACAAACAGAGGAATTTAAGTATTTGGGAGAAATTAGCTTCAGATGTGCAAAAGCTAATCAAGTAATGGGGCAATTATCTCCCCTGTTGACACACAAGCAGATACCTTGGAGTACTTAAGTGAATCTTATCAGAACTATTTTTGTTGGCCAACACTATGCTATCAGTGCAAAACAAGAACACTAACATCCTCCAGTGAATGTAAAATTGTGACAACAGAGATTAAATGCCTTAGAAGAGCTGCAGAAGTTTCAAGTAATGACAGAATATGAAATCACAAAATCAGAAGAATGCTTGGAATAAAGCCAGTCTTTCAAGTCATCAAACAACAACAAATGAAGTGGTTTGGACACCTAACAAGAATGCCCTGGTACTATCCACCACAGCGACCCTCACTAAAACGTTACAAATGGTTTAGAGTGAGTGGAAGACCTAGGAAAAGATGGAGTGATGGCATTAAGAACAGCCTCACAGAAATAAACATCAGTCTTGATAGTGCTCTTGACAGAGCTCATCAATGAATGTTACATCCCCTCCCCCCACCCTGAAACTTTGCTGAGGTACAAAGTAAAAGAGAAGAAGAAAAAGATGTTAGTTTTACAAGTTTGTCTACAGTAATGTCGTATCTAGAGATTTATCTACAATGATGTCACATCTAGAGATTCATCTGGATGAATGTGATATTTAGAGATTTATTTACAAGATGTCATATCAAGAGATTTATTTACCATGATGTCATTTCTAAAATTTTATCTATAGTGTTGTCATTTCTAGATGTTAATCTACAATGATGTCATATCTAGAGGTATATCTACAATGATGTCATATCTAGATTATCTACAATGATGTCATATATAGATGTTTATCTACAAGGATGTCATATCTAGATGTTTATCTACAATGATGTCATGTCTAGAATGTATCAACAAGGATGTCATATCTAGATTGTATCTACAAGGATGTCATATCTAGATGTTTATCTACATTGATGTCATATCTATAGGTTTATCTACAATGATGTCATATCTAGAGGTTTATCTACAATGATGTCATATCTAGATGTTTATCCACAATGATGTCATATCTATAGGTTTATCCACAATGATGTCATATCTAGAGGTTAATCGACAATGAAGTCACATTTAGATGTTTATCTACAATGATTTCATATCTAGATGTTAACAATGATGTCATACCTAGATGTTTATCTACAATGATGTCATATCTAGATGTTTATCTACATTGATGTCATATCTAGATGTTTATCTACATTGATGTCATATCTAGAGGTTTATCTACATTGATGTCATACCTAGATGTTTATCTACAATGATGTCATATCTAGATGTTTATCTACAATGATGACACATCTAGAGGTTTATCTACAATAATGTCATATCTAGACCCACTACATATTTCAAAGATGGCACACACATAAGTTTTCTAGCAGTGTCTGGATATTTTACATTCAGGAAACCACATCTAAAAATGACTCACTGAATGAGCCTAATGGATAACTGTCATCCACAGTTGGATTCTCCTCAGAAATGCTGATGGAAGCAGCTGTGAATATCCACACATATTCTTGTCCTGTAAGACCTAGTTCCTTGGCCACATCCATGATTGTTTTCACTTCTGCTCTGCAACAAACATCAATAGCATCCATGATTGTTTTCACTTCTGCTCTGCAACAAACATCAATAACATAAGGTAGTGGCCATCAATAACATCCATGATTGTTTTTCTTTCTCAAAAGGTAACATTGATTGTAGGGCATGATTGGCTCTGCAACAAACATCAATAATATCCAGATTTGCTCTGCCAAAAATAACATCCATTTGCTCTGCAACAAACATATTCCATGATTGAGATTCTGCTCTGCAACAAAACATTAATTACATGATTGTTCTGCTCTGATAGGGACAGACTCAATGATTTCCTGATAGGGACAGATTTTTCTGCCAATGATTTATCCTGGGCTTTATTACATTCTCCATTTATTGGGCTTTATACATTCTCCATACTGATTGTATACGGTGGCAATCTCATATATGAAAGCGATCATGGTGTAGCGGCTAGACTCTTGCCTGCGGATGAGAAGGTGGTGGGTCTGGCTCCTGACATTTTTCAAAAATACCCTTGACCCTTAGGTGGACCTAGCCTTGAATGGGTATCAGAAACACGCCCTGGGAAGTAAAGGTCCCAATTAACCACTGAGTGACGATTGGTCTATAAAATACAGATCTAGCACTATATGCCCAATACGTCTGAAGGCGTGGAAACTGTACTTGACTTGATCTTATTTTGTCTACAGTGTAGTCTGGAGACTGCCACCTTAACAGACAGACATATCTTGCCTTGTATTCAGTGTAGTCTGGAGACTGCCACCTTAACAGACAGACATATCTTGCCTTGTCTACAGTGTAGTCTGGAGACTGCCACCTTAACAGACAGACATATCTTGCCTTGTCTACAGTATAGTCTGGAGACTGCCACCTTAACAGACAGACATATCTTGCCTTGTCTACAGTGTAGTCTGGAGACTGCCACCTTAACAGACAGACATATCTTGCCTTGTATTCAGTGTAGTCTGGAGACTGCCACCTTAACAGACAGACACATCTTGCCTTGTCTACAGTGTAGTCTGGAGACTGCCACCTTAACAGACAGACATATCTTGCCTTGTCTACAGTGTAGTCTGGAGACTGCCACCCTAGAAATAGGCCTGATGTCTTCCTTCGAAGTCAGAGTACAGCTGCCCATGAGGCAGGGAAATGAAAAACGGTTGTACACGCAAAAATCAGGTCCAGGTGAAAGAGAAAGTCCAAGCGGACGATTAACCGGGACCTTCCACTGGAATTCACAAAAAAAAAAGTCTGGAGAATGCCACTTTAACATACAGACACATCTTGCCTTGTATACAGTGTAGTCTGGAGAATGCCACTTTAACATACAGACACATCTTGCCTTGTATACAGTGTAGTCTGGAGAATGCCACTTTAACATACAGACACATCTTGCCTTGTCTACAGTGTAGTCTGGAGAATGCCACTTTAACATACAGACACATCTTGCCTTGTATACAGTGTAATCTGGAGAATGCCACCTTAAAAGACAGACATATCTTGCCTTGTCTACAGTTTAGTCTGGAGAATGCCACTGTAACAGACAGACATATCTTGCCTTGTATTCAGTTTAGTCTGGAGAATGCCACAACATTTGTGTGAGAGGTTTTCCATGTGATAGTTACAACATTTGTGTAAGAGGATTTCCCATGTGATAGTTACAACATTTGTGTATGAGGATTTCCCATGTGATAGCTACAACATTTGTGTGAGAGGATTTCCCATGTGATAGTACAACATTTGTGTGAGAGGATTTCCCATGTGATAGATCAACATTTGTGTGAGAGGATTTCCCATGTGATAGTTACAACATTTGTGTGAGAGGATTTCCCATGTGATAGCTACAACATTTGTGTTAGAGAATTTCCCATGTGATAGTTGTCCATGTTATCCACCTTGTTGTCCATGTTATCCACCTTGTTGTCCATGTTGTCCACTTTGTTGTCCATGTTGTCCACCTTGTTGACCATGTTGTCCACCTTGTTGTCCATGTTGTCCACCTTGTTGTCCATTTTGTCCACCTTGTTGTCCATGTTGCCCACCTTGTTGTCCATGTTGTCCACCTTGTTGTCCATGTTGTCCACCTTGTTGTCCATGTTGTCCACCTTGTTGTCCATGTTGTCCACCTTGTTGTCCATGTTGTCCACCTTGTTGTCCACCTTGTTGTCCATGTTGTCCACCTTGTTGTCCATGTTGTCCACCTTGTTGTCCATGTTGTCCACCTTGTTGTCCATGTTGTCCACCTTGTTGTCCATGTTGTCCACCTTGTTGTCCACCTTGTTGTCCATGTTGTCCACCTTGTTGTCCATTCTATCCACCTTGTTGTACATCTTGTCCACCTTGTTGTCCACCTTGTTGTCCATTCTATCCACCTTGTTGTCCATCTTGTCCACCTTGTTGTCCATTCTATCCACCTTGTTGTACATCTTGTCCACCTTGTTGTCCACCTTGTTGTCCATCTTGTTGTCCATTCTATCCACCTTGTTGTACATCTTGTCCACCTTGTTGTCCACCTTGTTGTCCACCTTGTTGTCCACCTTGTTGTCCATGTTGTCCACCTTGTTGTGCACCTATGTGTAATGCTGCCTTCCTTGTCAAACTGTTCTCTTTTGACATACACTTACATATTCAGTTTAAACCAAAACACAAACATACACACACATACACACACATACACACACATACACACACATACACACACATACACACACATACACACACATACACACACAATGGTATTATCCTGACCGATTTTGTTGTTCCGCTTATAACCTTAGGAGAGTCACATAACACATCGTAGTTAAGCTGACACCCTCCTATACTCACATACACGTACATAGCGAGAGAACAAGAGAGAGAGGGAGAGAAGAGAGAGAGAGAGAGAAGAGAGAGAGTGAGATAAGAGACAGTGAGAGATAGAGATTGAGAGAAGATAGAGAGAGTGAGAGAAGAGAGAGTGAGAGAAGAGAGAGTGAGAGAAGAGAGAGATAGAGAGTGAGAGAAGAGAGAGTGAGAGAAGAGAGAGTGAGAGCAGAAGAGAGAGAGAGATAGAGAGTGAAAGAAGAGAGAGATTGAGAGTGAGAGAAGAGAGAGAGAGTGAGAGAAGATAGAGAGATAGGAGAGGAGAAGATAGGGAGAGTGAGGAGGGAGAGAGAGATAGAGAGTGAGAGAAGAGAGTACTGAGTGAAGGAGAGAGGAGAGAGAAGAGAGTGGGAGAGGGAGAGAGAGAGGAGATGATAGATAGGAGAGTGAGGAGAAGGGAGGGAGGAGTGGGAGAGAGAGAGGAAAGGAGAGGAAGAAGAGAGGAGAAATAGAGTGAGAGAAGAAGAAGCGAGATGAGAGAGGGGGAGGGGGAGAGTGAGAGAAGAGAGAGAGGAGAGAGTCGGAGGAGAAGAGGAGAGGAGAGAGGGAAAGAAGAGAGAGAGTGAGAGAGAGAGAGTGAGAGAGGAAGAGAAGAGGAGAAGAGAGAGAGAGAGGAGAGAAGGAGAGGAGTGAGAGGAGAGAGAGTGAGAGGAGAAGAGAAGTGAGAGAGAGAGTGAGAGAAGAGAGAGTGAGGGAGAAGAAGGCGTGAGTAGGAGAGAGCGTGAGGAGGAGGAGAGAGTGCAGAGAGAAAGAGCGAGGAGCTAGGAGAGGGAGAGCGAGGTGAGAGAAGCGAGGAGGAGGAGAGGAGGAGAAGGGGAGAGAGGAGAGACGGGGGAGGAGTGCGAGGGAAGAGAGAGAGGAGAGGAAGAGAGAGTGAGGGAAGAGAGAGTGATTGGAGAGAAGGAGGAGCGAGAGGAGAGAGAGGGAGGAAGCGGAGAGAGGAGAGAAGAGGGAGGGAGAAAAGAAGAGAGTGAGGAAGATAGGAGTGAGGAGCGAGAAGGGAGAGAGAGTGAGAGAGTGAGAGAGAGAGAGGGAGACGAAGAGAGTGAGAGAAGAGAGCGAGAGAGGGGAGAGAGAGAGGAAGAGAGTGAGAGGAGGATGAAGGAGAGGAGAGAGAGGAGAGGAGGAGTGAGAGAGAGAGAGAGTGAGAGAAGAGAGAGTGAGAAGAAGAGAGGAGGAGAGAGGAGTGAGAGAAGACGAGAGCAGAGAGAAGAGGCTAGTGAGGAGAAGAGTAGAGTGAGAGAAGGAGGAGTGAAGGAAGAGAGGGTGAGAGGAGAGAGAGTGAGAGAGGAGAGAGGAGGAGGAGAGAGAAGAAGTGAGAGAGAGGAAGAGAGAGAGAGAAGAGAGAGGGTGAGGATAGAGAGGGTTGAGAGAAGAGAGTGGGAGAAGGGGAGGAGAAGGAAGAGAGAGTAGGAGAGTGGGAGGATTGAGGAGGAGGAGAGAGTGAGAGAAGCGATAGTGAGGGAGAGAAGAGTGAGGGCGAGAGAAGGAGAGATTTGGAGAGGATGAGGCGGAGAGAGGAGAGTGAGAGGAACGGGAGAGGAGTGAGAGAAGAGAGAGAAGGGAAGAGAAGAAGAGAGAAGAGAGAATGAGAGAGGGAGGAGGAGAAGAGAGAGAGTGAGAGAAGGAGGAGGGAGAGAGAGAGAGAGAGAGAAGAGAAGAGAGGAGGGATGAGAGAAGGAGAGAGTGAGAGAAGACGAGGAGAATGAAGGGTGGGGGAGAAAGAGAGAAGGAGGGAGGAGGAGGAGAGGGGGAGAGTGAGGAAAAGAGGGGAGGAGAGAAGAGGAGGAGAAGAGGGAAGAGAGAGGTGAGAAGAGAGAATGAGGAGAGAGGATGGAGAGAGGAGAGAGAGAGAGGAGAAGGAGAGAGGGAAGAGGAGAGAGAGGTGAGAGAAGAAGAGAGTGAGGAGAAGAGAGGGGAGAAGTGGAGGAGAAGAGCAGAGTGGAGGAAGAGAAGAGAGGAGAGAGAAGAGAGAGGAGGAAGAGAGGAGTGGAGAGAGGAGAGAGAGAGGAAGCGAGAGGAGGAGAGGGAGAAGAACGAGAGAGAGAAGAAGAGAGAGTGAGAGAGAGAAGAGAGGAGAGAAGAGAGGGAGTGGAGGAAGGGAAGAGAAGGAGAGCTGAGAGAGGGAGGAGTAGAGAGAGAGGAAGAGAGGAGGAGAGAAGGATGAGAGAGAGGAGGTCGGGAGGGGAGGAGGAGGTGAGAGAAGAGAGGAGTGAGGAGGAAGGAGAGAGTGCGAGAGAGAGGTGAGTGCGTGGGAGGATGTAGGCGAGGAGGGAGAGAGTGAGAGGCGGAGGGGAGAGGGGAGGAGAGAAGAGAAGAGATGAGCAGAGGAGAGTGGGAGAGAGAGAGGCCGGAAGCGAGCGAGGATGCGGTGAGAAAGAGAGAGAGGCGAGTGAAGGAGCGGGGAGCGGAGAGCGAGGGGAGGCGATGAGCGAAGGAGAAGGAGAGGGGGAGAGAGGAGCCGCGTCGCGGAGGGAGGAGAGAGGAGCGAGGAGGAGCGTGGGGAGAGGGGGGAGCGAGAGCGGGCGTTCGGGAGCTCCCGGGAGGGTGAGAGGGGGAGCGTGAGGAGAAGGAGGCGAGGATGAGGAGCGAAGGAGAATCGGGGGCGAGGAGGAGGAGGAGGCGGAGCCCGTGAGAGCCGCGCGGGGCGAGCGCCGAGCTGCGCGCCGAGCGAGAGTGGAGAGCCGCGCGAGAGAGAGTGGAGAGGCCGAGCGTCGCCGTGAGCGTGCGCGCCGAGCGGAGCGAAGCCGCTCGTTCGTGCGCGAGAAGATCGAGTGAGAGAAGCCGGGGGGGGAGAGGGGGGAGCGGAGAGCGTGCGCGACGCGTGAGTGAAGCTGCCCGCGCGTGAGCGCGCCGCGTGAGAGAGCGCGCCGCGCAACGAGCGCGCCCCGCGCGCGAGTGCGCGAGCGAGTGTGCGCCGAGAGCGATGCCCTCCGCGCGCGAGCGATGCGAGCGAGCCGCGCGAGCGTGCCTCTCGTCGAGAGCGAGGCGAAGCCTCGAGAGCGAGCCCCCGCGCGAGAGAGAGCACCCGCACCTTCCCCTTGTTCTCTCCTGATAAGCTGGACCTATGAGTGGACTGTAACCAAGGAAACCAGCATCAGCAGACAGCAGCGCCACTGTTATGTCAAAGTTCGACTTTGACCTAGAAGCAGTCTACTGAAGAACTAACTAACCCGACTTGACCTGGCTAAATGGCGCCACTGAACGCTAGGTTGCCATAACAATAAGGCCAGACGACCAGAAACAATAACAGCTGATGACTTCTGCCATATTACAGAAGTCACGAAAATGGCCCCAAAATACTTTGTACTCCTCTTTTCCTTATCAACCCGACACTATCGTAAACACAATCTCTGGCTATTCTTTGTTACTCATCTGCTCTCTCTCTCTCTCTCTCTCTCTCTCTCTCTCTATCTCTCTCTCTCTCTCTCTCTCTCTCTCTCTCTCTCTCTCTCTCTATCTCTCTCTATCATGGTGTGAGGCAGTGAAACAACAACAGTTTTACAATAGCAGCGCAAGTCTATCATGATGTGAAGCAGTGAAACAACAACAGTTTTACAATAGCAGCGCAAGTCTATCATGGTGTGAGGCAGTGAAACAACAACAGTCTTGCAGTAGCGTAACGCGGTGACAAGGACAGATAACTTACAGACGACATGTCATTCCCTAGACAGTTTTGCTGTTAATGAAATGTATTCTCACCCACTTCCGTGTACCAAGTTGATTCTCGAGTCCTTGTGTAGCTGGTATTTTAACTTATCCACTACTTCGTTCTGGTCTCTTCCATCGGTGAAGTTGACGTAGGACAGCAGCCGGTAGCTGTAGACACAACAATGTAAGAGCTGCGTCAAGAAACTGACGCTACTTAACTCTTGCAATACTGGGCAGCTGACACTACTTAACTCTTGCAATACTGGGCAACTGACACTACTTAACTCTTGCAATACTGGGCAGCTGACACTACTTAACTCTTGCAATACTGGGCAGCTGACACTACTTAACTCTTGCAATACTGGGCAGCTGACACTGCTAAACTCTTACAATACTGGGCAGCTGACACTGCTAAACTCTTACAATACTGGGCAGCTGACACTACTTAACTCTTACAATACTGGGCAGCTGACACTTCTTAGTTCTTGCAATACTGGGCAGCTGACACTACTTAACTCTTACAATACTGGGCAGATGACACTACTTAACTCTTGCAATACTGGGCAGCTATCGCTGTGTTCACTGGTGACAGTTTTATATTATAGATTTCCTTGCTGTATCTGTCTCATATTTCTGTTCATATTAACCCATTCTGTCCGAATTGTTACTGTAACTCATTATGTTCCAATGCTGCATTTTTCGGTTATCTCCTTGGTCGATGTACACACCAAATCTCTCTTCACATGGTCGGCACGATCATCTCCTTGGTCGATGTACACACCAACATCTCTCTTCACATTGTCCGCACGGTTATCTTCTTGTTCGATGTACACACCAACATCTCTCTTCACCATGTCGGCACGGTTTTCTCCCTGTTCGATGTACACACCAATATCTCTCTTCACATTGTCGGCACGGTTATCTCCTTGGTCGATGTACACACCAATATCTCTTCACATTGTCGGCACGGTTGTCTTCTTGTTCGATGTACACACCAATATCTCTCTTCACATTGTCGGCACGGTTATCTTCTTGTTCGATGTACACACCAATATCTCTCTTCACATTGTCGGCACGGTTATCTTCTTGTTCGATGTACACCCGAATATCTCTCTTCACATTGTCGGCACGGTTATCTCCTTGTTCGATGTACACCCGAATATCTCTCTTCACATTGTCGGCACGGTTATCTCCTTGTTCGATGTACACACCAATATCTCTCTTCACATTGTCGGCACGGTTATCTCCTTGTTCGATGTACACACCAATATCTCTCTTCACATTGTCGGCACGGTTATCTCCTTGTTCGATGTACACCCGAATATCTCTCTTCACATTGTCGGCACGGTTATCTCCTTGTTCGATGTACACACCAATATCTGTCTTCACATTGTCGGCACGGTCATCTCCTTGGTCGATGTACACACCAATATCTCTCTTCACATTGTCGGCACGGTTATCTCCTTGTTCGATGTACACACCAATATCTCTCTTCACATTGTCGGCACGGTTATCTTCTTGTTCGATGTACACACAGACTCGCCGTGTGGGTACTTTGGCCCATTTTTGGGGAAAATAAAGAACAGATCCACTACCTGCCTAACTAGAATGTCGTAAAAGGCGACTTATTAAGGGATTTCCCTTCAAGTCAGATTTCGTTTGTTTGAGATGCAAGGAACCAACAGTTCTGTATCTAAAAAAACCAGGTCTGTAGAACAGATGTGCACACAAAACTCCAGTTTTGGGACACGACCAGAGTCCAGAAGTAGTCGAACAACCAGAACTTTTACAGACGGCAAACGCTAAGAACTACAGCTTCTCTCAGTGATTACAACAAATTCCATACAGATTACAGCTTCTCCCAGTGATTACAACAAATTCCATACAGATTACAGCATCTCCCAGTGATTACAACAAATTCCATACCAATTATAGCTTCCTCCAATGATTACAACATAGTCCATACAGACTACAGCTTCTCCCAGTGATTACAACATAGTCCATACAGACTACAGCTTCTCCCAGTGATTACAACATAGTTCATAGAGACTACAGCTTCCTCCAATGATTACAACATAGTCCATACATATTATAGCTTCCTCCAATGATTACAACATAGTCCATACATATTATAGCTTCCTCCAATGATTACAACATAGTCCATACATATTATAGCTTCCTCCAATGATTACAACATAGTCCATACATATTATAGCTTCCTCCAATGATTACAACATAGTCCATACATATTATAGCTTCCTCCAATGATTACAAACATAGTCCATACATATTATAGCTTCCTCCAATGATTACAACATAGTCCATACATATTATAGCTTCCTCCAATGATTACAACATAGTCCATACATATTATAGCTTCCTCCAATGATTACAACATAGTTCATACAGATTACAGCTTCCTCTAATGATTAAAACATAGTCCATACAGACTACAGCTTCCTTTAATGATTACAACAGAGTACATACAGACTACAGCTTCCTCCAATGATTACAACATAGTCCATACAGACTACAGCTTCCTCCAATGATTACAACATAGTCCATACAGACTACAGCTTCCTCCAATGATTACAACATAGTCCATACAGACTACAGCTTCCTCCAATGATTACAACATAGTCCATACAGACTACAGCTTCCTCCAATGATTACAACATAGTCCATACTGACTACAGCTTCCTCCAATGATTACAACATAGTCCATACAGACTACAGCTTCCTCCAATGATTACAACAGAATCCATACATAATATAGCTTCTCCCAGTGATTACAACATGGTCCATACAGATTACAATGATTACAACAGAGTCCATACAGACTACAGCTTCCTCCAATGATTACAACAAAGTCCATACAGACTACAGCTTCTTCCAATGATTACAACAAAGTCCATACAGACTACAGCTTCTCCCAATGATTACAACAAAGTCCATACAGACTACAGCTTCTCCCAATGATTACAACATAGTCCATACAGACTACAGCTTCTCCCAGTGATTACAACATAGTTCATAGAGACTACAGCTTCACTTAGTGATCACACATAATCTGTTTCAACAAACCAGTACTTGTTAAGATATTTTCTCTTCATGTAGTATTTAAAATGAAAATAATCTGTTCATAGAATGTTTAAAGTGATAGATGATACAGATTGTAGTCTTTATCCATTGTGATGGAACGAGGACTATATGAACTCTCTCTACTCCAAGGGCGATGCGAACACTCACTGCCAAATTCTGTTATCGTTTAACACCCTTTGCACCAGACGCTGTATGGACAGAGAGTTAGGAACGTGATATCGTCCAGTTTATCTTGTACTTACGAGAACGCATCCCCGCCATAGATGCCGACTTTTTGCTGGCGCTGAAACTCCTGAACTTTGATCCTGATGGAAGCGATCTCGTCGAGACAGCCATAGGAAAGCGTGCACAAGAAGGAGAAGTCTGACCAGGAGAACGTCTTGAGAAAAGCAAAGAGCACATCGATCATCTGACCCATGGTGGGCGCTAGTTGCAAGGACAAGGCCGGCTGTGGGATGAGAGAGAAGGCATACCTAGTTACAGTTAGCTGCATATCTTGAATTTTTAGGACGGCGTAGAGCAAACCCTAGCTTATTTTTCCCCCTTTGACTGGCTGTCTGGTTTTACTTGGCAATTTTACGTTTAGCAGGTTGCCACTGCTCTCACCGGCAGTTTGCTCTTCTATGCTATCGTGGAAACCAACGGAAAGCGATCTGATGCCAAATGGCATGCAAGGTCTACATCAGCTTGGCAATAATGGACTGTTGGAAATATGAAACGACTGAGTATTGCCAACGCTTTGCAAAACCTACTGCACGAATTTGCCCGCGCAGTCTCTCTTTATCTCTGGCAGATACACAGATAGAGAGACACATACACGCACGAGTGTGCCCGCGCAGTCTCTCTTTCTCTATCTCTGGCAGATACACAGATAGAGAGACACATACACGCACGAGTGTGCCCGCGCAGTCTCTCTTTCTCTATCTCTGGCAGATACACAGATAGAGAGACACATACACGCACGAGTGTGCCCGCGCAGTCTCTCTTTCTCTATCTCTGGCAGATACACAGAAAGAGAGAAACATACACGCACGAGTGTGCCCACACAGTCTCTCTTTCTCTATCTCTGGCAGATACACAGATAGAGAGAAACATACTCGCACGAGTGTGCCCGCGCAGTCTCTCTTTCTCTATCTCTGGCAGATACACAGATAGAGAGAAACATACACGCACGCACAAAAACACACACACGCAGATACACAGATAGAGAGAAATATACATGCACGCACAAACACACACACACACGCAAATACACAGATAAAGAGAAACATGCACGCACGCACAAACACGCACACAGATAGAGAGAAACATACCCGCACGCACAAACACACACGCACGCAGATACGCAGATAGAGAGAAACATACCCGCACGCACAAACACACACACACGCAGATACGCAGATAGAGAGAAACATACACGCACACACAAACAAACACACACGCAGATACGCAGATAGAGAGAAACATATACGCACGCACAAACACACACACACGCAGATACACAGATAGAGAGAAACATACACGCACACACAAACACACACACACGCAGATACACAGATAGAGAGAAACATACACGTACGCACAAACACACACACACACACACACGCAGATACACAGATAGATAGAAACATACACGCACGCACAAACATACACACACGCAGATAGAGAGAAACATAGACGCAGCACAAACACCAGCGATCAGCCGCTGACTCAATGTTTAGAATGCTGCGCTCTCAAGCGGGGAACCCGGATTCGAATCCTTGGTAAGGCTGAAGATTTTCTGTCTGGGGGAAAATAAAATCTTCACCTGCACAGTGGTGGCGACAGCACTGGTCATGCGGCTGTCAATCCTCAGGCTCAGAGACCCCCCCCCCCCCCAGCCTACACAGCAAAAGTGGTATGATAAAGGCAGTTATTGACAGTTTTTGTATGTGACAAACACACACACACACACACACACACACACACACACACACACACACACACACAATGAAGCTAACGGCTTACTGGTCACAGACAGTAATTGTAACATATATCTTCCTACCCGCCGTGGAAGTCATCAGCAAGTGCTGCAACTAATTCCCATCTTACCCTACCCCGCTATCTGTTGCTATTGCATTTTTCTAATTTTCGTGACGTTTTTTCACGTAAGCCCTCCCCAAGTGTTTTCCCCTTTTCTTTCAGCCCTTTACATGTCTCTTCACGTGTTTCTGCTGGTGTGGACAACTGGTTATTTGCTGTTTTTGTTACATGCTCCGGTCACACCCCGGACAGTCTGTATCCTATTGACCAACACCAGATGGCTCACACACAAAACAACATGTACATGAGAAATTAAACAGTTCAGAGGCTGTCAACATGTACATGAGAAATTAAACAGTTCAGAGGCTGTCAACATGTACATGAGAAATTAAACAGTTCAGAGGCTGTCAACATGTACATGAGAAATTAAACAGTTCAGAAGCTGTCAACATCTACATGAGAAATTAAACAGTTCAGAAGCTGTCAAAATGTACATGAGAAATTAAACAGTTCAGAAGCTGTCAACATGTACATGAGAAATTAAACAGTTCAGAGGCTGTCAACAAAGAAAATGGTGGTGATGGTGGTGGAGCTCATCCTATTTTCAACTTTTTAGAGCGCCTAAAGGGATCAACGCCTTTTTAAAAGTGCGCGCGCACACACACACAACACACACACACACACACACACACATATATATATATATATATATATATATATATATAAACAATAATGTACTGTATAGCAAAAATATATACTAATATATTTTAAATGATATGAATTATATTTAAAAAGGTAATTTATACTGGGGAGGGGGGAGTTGTTTGCGGTGGGGAGGGTGGGGGGGGGGGGGTGGGGGACTTAACCCTCATGCAAATCTTCTTGAGGCGTGGGTATGTTTAGTCCATCCCAGAGACATTATTATGGCTAAGGAGCGGGAGCTCAGCCTTCAAACATGTTGAGAGACGCAAGTTGCTTGAGCCCGCAGGTGCCACGGCCCATCAAACAATTGACCAAACAATGAAACAGACAGGACAGCCCGCTATCATCTCACTGCTGCCCCCGTGAGGCTGTCACTGGCACCGTGACTTGAGTCTTGCCAAGTTATCAAGTTAACTCATTCAGATATGGGGGGAAAAACGGATTTTGGCAACGAAAACAAATTTATAAGCATGTTGAAAGTTGAATGAATGTTGAATTAGGAATCGATATTACAACACTCATGACACCTCTATAAGCGCTCCGTCCCCATCGTCAGCAGCCAGCGAAGAGTTCCGATTCCAAACGTACCAGTGTCTGATTGTATACGCCTTTCTCTTCAGCGTTGAGTGTCGGCCTGGTCTCCTGCCAGGAAGTCTTCGCTACGCCATTCTCCTCAGATCGAAATGATCTATTTGTGCCTTTCCACTGTTCACTCGCTCCAAAAGGGCCATCACAACATCTAGCTTTCATACACCGATTCCGACCAGTCTTCTGGCTGCTCGCTTCCCAAAACACCAGCATCACCTCGAGAAAATATCTAAAGAACGCCAAAACCCGGGACATCTGAAGCGATGCTTGCCACTGTGCACGGAGCAGACCTGTCTCCACCCTTCCCAACATGCTCTGTGAGTCAGTTACAATCACGGCATGTGTGTACAGCTGATTCTCAATCCAGTGGAAGGCAGTAGTGACTGCCTCCACCTCCATTCTCAAACTAGATGTTGTGATATCATTTGTCGGGCTTTGCTGCACTAAGCAACGTCCAATCGCTTTTGCCAGAATCCTTCATGCACTTTATCTACCTCTCAAAACAAAGCCATCTGTATAGATAATCACGTCACTTGAATCATTTGTTGAACTTCTGATTCTACAGCACAAGCTGGCTAGTCCCTGCACTTACGACCGAAAGTGATAAGAGCCATACACAAATCTTATTCCTTGCCGGACACGTTTACCCACTCCTCTCGTTGCTCAAATGTATCAATCCTGCACACATTTCCGATTGTGTCTTCAGCTCGCGCCATCCAAGACCTTCCTCTTTTAAGTTTGTGACCTTTACCCACTTCATGCAGGAAGTGCTTCTTGTCTACAGCACCGGTAGTACTACCCCGGCAGTGTGTATACGATATATACTTGCACTGCCTACTATCGCAGACAGGCTCAAAGTTCTGCTAGCAAAGTCATAGAGTAGCTGCAGACAAGAAGCACTTTCTGCTTGCTCTTGCTACAGAGATGAAAGTCGGTGTTGTGGGGAAGAGAAATGCCTGTGGGTTCGTAGCGAAAGCCAATGTAAAATCTTTAGTGCAGGACAGCCTAGCATACGATACCTCAACATCTAATATGAGAATGGAGGTGGAGGCGGTAATTGCAGCTATCTGGTGGCTAGAGGAAAAAAGAATGCATTTACATGTCGTAATTCTAACGGACTCTGAAAGCATGCTGAGAAAGGTGAAGTGCTTCGAGTAGAGTGGCAAGCTTCACTATGATGGTCAGGGGTAGTGAGCACACTTTGTCCAGGCTATGCCGACGTATTGGTTAATAAACAGGCAAACATATTGGCTGGATCTGCACCTCTGGATGGTGAAGACACATGACAAGGCAGATGTGGCCAGGGACCATTGGGAGCAGCAACGGAGTCAGAAGCGAAACCAGATTTTTATGGCCTGGAGAGAATTAGACCCGTGGTTGTTACTAGAGGGTCTGGCCGGTTCATTACACTCAGAAGAAAAGGTAGGACAGACATATAACCAGATTACGACTGGTACCATTAGTACTGGAACTTTGCTCTGGCTGCTAAAGATGAGAAGAAGCACGCATAAAAATGCACCGATTGATGTGATGTTAATTCTGAATTCAACTCAGCTCAACTCAGTCTTCTCTAGAACTTTGTCAAAAGTATTTGTAGATTGATAATCCTGAAACCGCTGAGTCAGTAATGATCTTGGCCTGGTTTTGGAAGTGGAATGAGGTAGCCGTGTACCCACTTCTGAGGTACTGAAGCTGTTCTGATTCTGTTGTTGAAGTAAAAAGCCGTCTCCTTCGAGTCATAATCAGTCATGCTCTTCGTGTGGGCAGTGTCTTTTGCTTTTTTACTATATATATATTTTATATCCTCCATCCTAATGATATCCTGAAAAAAATTATCATTGATTATATTATACAGATTATCGCTAAATGCATTTCTGTTCCCTATCATTATGATCAGTTTGGGCTAAACATCTCTCCAAAATACGTTCCCTTTCTCTTTGTCTGTTACAGTGTATATAATGCCTGTTCTTTGCATCTGCTGCACAATGTTTGAACTATTCTCCTCTTTCTTTTCTAACTCTTTCTTGCTTCTCTACACTTTTTGCAATTGTTTAACTGCAGCTGGCTTTACTCTCCATGTTTGTTTTATTTCTTGGGTCCACCATGGAGGTCCACTCATCGATCCACCTGATTACAGTACAAGATGTCATCCGCACATGTCAGTGCCACCAATTTGTATATTTACCATTTTAAGTGACAAGTCAAAGATCAGACAGACAGAGAAGCCACACAAAAACTGACCCTTGAGTTTGGAGAGAACTGTGTGTCGTAGGAGATGATCGGAAGCCCCAGAGATTCCAGCATCTGCGGCAGGTACTTCACTGAAGGTCCAACCAGGCACATCAGTTCCAAGATTGCGGTGAAACGTTTTCAAATCATAGGTAGAAATTGACAGGAACAGTACTTCTACGTTAACTGGCACAATAACTAACATTCATATATACAAGAGATCTCCTGAAACAAGTACTTCCAGTCTACGATAAGACACACATATCAGTTACAGAAATAAAGTAAGGCAGCAAAAACGGGTAAAATAAAACAAAGATAAAAAGTGTAACAAATCAATCACAGATAAATAAGAACAGGTACAACAGTTCAATAATGACAGGTACAACGGTTCAATAATGACAGGTACAACAGTTCAATAATGACAGGTACAATAACTTGATAAGGGCATGTACAATAGTTCTACAAGAAGAAGCACAACAGTTCCATAATTAAATGTAATACTTCATAACAGAGCAAAAGCAGCCTTCATCAAAGAGAGAAATAATCAGATGAGGGAAAGCTGGCACAGAAAGACGGCGTCATTTGATTTCGAAAAGGAGACTTCACGTATGTGGAATCTCACAAAAAGCTTGAATGGAGACAAGACAGAAAAAGCCAGAGTTGTACTCCTAACAGACGATAGAGTTGTTACTGGCAAGGTAGCAGCAAAAATGCTAGCTGAAACACACTAGAAGGAAACTGAGGTTCATATTCCCATGCAAAGAATAAAAGAAGTACGACAGCAGACCAAGACTCTTCTAGCAGACTCTAGCACAAAAGCAACCGAGGCCTGCATGTCAGAAAAGTTTACTATGCAAGAGCTGGAAGTTGGAACTGAAGAGTTGAAAATAAAGAAAGTCTCAGGGGTTGACTGCATTACAAACGAATTTCTCTCTCATCTTGTTCCTGCTGCCAAAAAGTTTCTCCTCTGCATTTACAACCAGAGCTGGCAAAAAGGGGTAGTACCGTCAGCCTGGAAGGAAGCCCTTATCCAGCCTATCCTTAAAAAGGGTGGAGACAGAAGAGACCCAAAAAGCTACAGACCCATCAGCCTTCTTAGTTGTGTAGGAAAATTGATGGAAAAATTAGCAAATAAAAGACTAATATGGTTCTTGGAGACAAACTCTGTTATCACCACCACGCAGACAGGATACAGACAGCACAGAAATACAGAGGACCAGTTGACATATCTGACACATGAAATTAAGAATGCCTTCCAGGAAAAAAAGAAAGTTCTTGCTGTCTTCTTTGACCTCTCGTGCTTTTGATACAGTTTGGAAAGAAGGCCTACAACTAAAACTGCTACAGGCAGGAGTTGTACACAACATGTACAAGTGGATCAAAGACTTTCTTTTTCAACGCAGAGCCAGATTTAGAATTGATCGACACATCGGCAAACTAGCAAAACTAAGAGAACGAGTTCCTCAGGGCAGTGCTATATCACCAACTCTGTTCCTGGTTTACATTAATGATATCACAGCAACCTGCCACCAGTACGTTTCTAATACCCTACATGCCGATGACTTTGCAGTTTGGACAGCCTCCGAATACACTACCACAGCCTCATATCTGTTACAAAAAACTGTGGAAAATGTAAAAGCATGGACCGAAAAGTCGGGTCTAAAGCTAAATAATTCAAAAAGCACAACATCACTTTTCCCTCTCTCCCCCAAAAAAGAAAAAAATCGAAATTTGGATACAAAACCAGCTCATTCCACAGACTGACACTCCTACCTTTTTGGGCGTTTCACTTGATTCGCGACTAACTTGGAAGTCAAATGTAGAAGCAGTACAGGGAAAAGCATTCAAGAAGCTTGCAGTTATGAAAAAATTAGCGGGTACCACATGGGGCGCTAACTCTAGAATCCTAAAACATGTATATACTGGAGCAGTCAGGCCAGTCATGGAATATGCCTCCACTGCATGGGCTGCAGCAGCCAAGACAACAATGGGAAAACTGGACAAGGTTTGGAATATGGGATTAAGGATTGTTCTCGGAGCCATGAAATCCACCCCCATCAGAGAGATAGAGAGGATAGCAGATACTGAACCACTCAAACTCAGAAGACAATACAAAACTCTTTTACAGTATGAGAAATTAAAAAGACTTCAAAGTCACCCACTGCATTTTAAATTTCAAGAGAGAACAAAAAAACAGACTGAAGTGTCAGAGCCCCAACCACCTTGCTACAGAACTGTACAGACAGCACCAAGATCTGCTTGAAAGAGATGCTGCACTGTGCGAACAACTTAGGCCAGAACCATGGACAAGCCAGAGAAAGCAAATGTAGTCCTAAAGGTACCAGGAATCACTTCAAAAGATGCCCAGACGGAGACACAACAGAGAACCTTGGCTCTTGCTATGCTTGATGAGAAGTATCCAAACACCACTTGGACTCAGGTTTTCACCGACGGCTTTGCTACAGATGCAGTCAGAAAGGGGGGTTGTGGAATTTACATTAAAACCCCTAGCAGTAGAGCAGAAACTCTCTCTCTACCAGCAAGTGACATCTGCACTAACTTCAGAGCTGAGGCAACTGCCCTCCTCTCTGCAGTCCAACATCTCATCACTCAAGAACACAGAGGGCACCAAATTGTTATACTTAGTGACTCATTGTCTGTTCTCCAAGCACTATCCAGCAAAAAACAAGACAAACTAATTGCAGATTTAAGGACCAACATTGGCTTACTCTCCAAGGAAGCAGAACTGATCTTGCAGTGGATACCAGCCCATTGTGGTATTCAAGACAATGAGAAAGCAGTTGAGTTGGCAAAAGCTGGGAGTAATCTTCCAAAACCCCATTCACCACACAGCTACAAGGAAACCAAAACAGCGCTAAAGCAGTCTTTCAAGCAGGAGTGGAGAAGGCGGAATGAAGATTACAGACCAGAGAGTGACAGCATAAACAAACTCAACAATCAATCTTTAGACTTCGGACTGGACACTGCGGTCTTCGAGTGCACCTGTACATGATAGGCATAAAAGAATCTGCTGCCTGCTATTGTGGAGCAGAAAGACAGACCCCTGAGCACATACTACAGTACTGCCCTTACCTCTCCCAGCAAAGACTGTGGATCTGGCCCAAGGGATCCACATTGAAAGAGAAGCTATGGGGGACCGGTGGCGACCTCAAACGTACAATCCTATTTGTGACCCAGACGGGACTCAATGTTTAGCATGACTGATGTCGAACGCAGAAGAAGAAAAAGAAGTTCCATAATGACAGGTACAACAGTTCCATTATGACATGTACAATAACTTGATAAGGGCATGTACAATAGTTCTACAAGAAGAAGCACAACAGTTCCATAATGACAGGTACAACAGTTCGATAATGACAGGTACAACAGTTCGATAATGACAGGTGCAACAGTTCAATAATGACAGGTACAACAGTTCCATAATGACAGGTACAACAGTTCTATAATGACAGGTACAATAGTTCAATAATGACAGGTACAACAGTTCAATAATGATAGGTACAACAGTTCCATAAGGACAGGTACAACAGTTCCATAATGACAGGTACAACAGTTCCATAATGACAGGTACAACAGTTCCATAATGACAGGTACAACATTTCTATAATGACAGGTACAACAGTTCCATAATGACAGGTACAACAGTTCCATAATGACAGGTACAACAGTTCCATAATGACAGGTACAACAGTTCCATAATGACAGGTACAACAGTTCCATTATGGCAGGTACAACAGTTCTATAATGACAGGTACAACAGTTCCATAATGACAGGTACAACAGTTCAATAATGACAGGTACAACAGTTGAATAATGACAGGTACAACAGTTCCATAACGACAGGTACAACAGTTCAATAATGACAGGTACAACAGTTCAATAATGACAGGTGCAACAGTTCCATAATGACAGGCACAACAGTTCCATAATGACAGGTACAAACAGTTCTATAATGACAGGTACAACAGTTCAATAATGACAGGTACAACAGTTCAATAATGACAGGTACAACAGTTCCATAAGGACAGGTACAACAGTTCCATAATGACAGGTACAACAGTTCCATAATGACAGGTACAACAGTTCCATAATGACAGGTACAACATTTCTATAATGACAGGTACAACAGTTCCATAATGACAGGTACAACAGTTCCATAATGACAGGTACAACAGTTCCATAATGACAGGTACAACAGTTCCATAATGACAGGTACAACAGTTCCATTATGACAGGTACAACAGTTCTATAATGACAGGTACAACAGTTCCATAATGACAGGTACAAACAGTTCAATAATGACAGGTACAACAGTTGAATAATGACAGGTACAACAGTTCCATAATGACAGGTACAACAGTTCAATAATGACAGGTACAACAGTTCAATAATGACAGGTACAACAGTTCCATAATGACAGGCACAACAGTTCCATAATGACAGGTACAACAGTTCAATAATGACAGGTACAACAGTTCCATAATGACAGGTACAACAGTTCCATAATGACAGGTACAACAGTTCCATAATGACAGGTACAACAGTTCCATAATGACAGGTACAACAGTTCCATAATGACAGGTACAACAATTCCATAATGACAGGTACAACAGTTCCATAATGACAGGTACAACAGTTCCATAATGACAGGTACAACAGTTCCATAATGACAGGTACAACAGTTCCATAATGACAGGTACAATAGTTCAATAATGACAGGTACAACAGTTCCATAATGACAGGTACAACAGTTCCATAATGACAGGTACAACAGTTCCATAATGACAGGTACAACAGTTCCATAATGACAAGTACAACAGTTCCATAATGACAGGTACAATAGTTAAATAATGACAGGTACAACAGTTCCATAATGACAGGTACAACAGTTCAATAATGACAGGTACAACAGTTCAATAATGACAGGTACAACAGTTCCATAACGACAGGTACAACAGTTCAATAATGACAAGTACAATAGTTCAATAATGACAGGTACAATAGTTCAATAATGACAGGTACAACAGTTCAATAATGACAGGTACAACAGTTCAATAATGACAGGTACAACAGTTCCATAACGACAGGTACAA